GTTCAAGGTTGTTAAACCTTTTCTGAGCATTTTCAAGTTTTCAAAAGGTCTCAAAATTTGCCGCCACTTCAGTTGCAATGTACAACTGTCCTTGCCAGTGTAAATGGCAAGGGTTGATGCCACTTATTGCCACTGACAAGCGGAGCCTTTTGTTTCTCAAAATCGTTTTGCTTACAACCACCCTCATCTGACAGTAAACGTCGCATGCCAATGTCCATGCCACAAATGCACGTACCTTGAACATCCTCCGGTACTTATCCAACTCTTTGTTCATGTGCAGTTTCCCCAGTACGTCCTGCAGATCTTTCTTCAGGTCGTCGTACTCGATGCTGTGGTTCGACGGCGCGAGTTTGACCTCCATCCGGAAGGCCCTGTTGTAGTATTCCAGGGCTAGTTTGTAGTTCTCCTGAGATTTGGGTTCGTCTATGAGACGAAGATAGAATTAGTTTGAACAACATTTGCTCGTATGCAGTACAAAATCAGTTTGTACCCCAGTTTAAATAACATTTTATGGTTCAGCCCGCGAAGTTTGTAGCAGAACAAGTGCTCCAAAAAAGAGGCGTTCATAAAAGAGGAGGATACTTTGAATCCCCCAAGATATATGGTTTACCGAAAAACTGTGCATACAGATCAGTAGATTTGTTGATTTTACCTGGAATGACTTATTTCACCTGAATCAAGCAAATCGTTGTTTAGCGTCACAAAAGATTTTTACGCTAAGAAAATGTGTGTTCTCAAAACGGTAAAGTATGTGCCCAATCAAACGGGTAGCGGTTAACCTATAAGTACCCATTTCAAACCAAGATCGTTTTCATTGCTCCGATTAAAAACTCAGGTTACCTTCAGGTTTCTTTGATTTCTTGTATTCGTCCCCTAAACTGTCGTACAAGGATCCAATGAAGACAAGGTTGCGAGCCGTGGTAGGATGCACGCCTATGGTCTCCTCTCTGATCGTAACGGCATCTGTTGCCAACGCTAGAGCTTTTTCGTATTCCTTTAAAGAAGAAAGGGGGAATACACCTTTTCACAAATAATTTGCGTATAGATTTTCTTTTAAACTGATCTATAAAAAAGGGTAGATCTCGTCTGCTTAAAACCCTTATTTGGAATTCTTATATAGTGGTCACTCGACCGAGGTGTAATTACCGAAATGTAATGATAAAAGCGGAGCTTGAACTTGATAAAAAAAGCATATGACTACATCTTGTAACGTTACTATATAACACGTGATAGCGGCAACAAAACCCTCTGATCCGTTTTCCAATATTGTTAATTAATGCTTAGCGTTAAACATTCATGTACACGTTCTGATTAAATTAAGCAATAATATTGTGAAGTATATTGTCTCGTATTAGAACACCCACCTCCATTTCACAGTAGCTCATGGCCATGTTCTTGAGGACGAACGGAGTGTTGGAAGAGTGGGACAGTTTGAAGGCTGTCTCCAGATCGAATGCCTCGCGGTAGTTCTTGATGGCAAGGTTAAAGTACTCGTGAGCCTTCTTCTTGTTGCTACTTTTGAATCTCTTTCCCATCTGATGAAAAGTGGCGCCGATGTTAAACAAGTACATGGGTGCCTCGAAGTGCTTCTCTGGTTTGCCGTTGGTGATTTTAACTAGCATCTCCCAGGCTTTCAGATGGTACTCGTGGGCTTCTGTCGCGCCGCTACAGAGGCGGTCGTCATCTGCCTTGTTGAAGTAAGCGTGACCCAGCCCATTAAGGCAGCGAGCCGTGAGCGAGTGATTCCCAAGGAGACGCTCTTGAATTTTCAAGGCTTGCTCAAGGACAGCAATACCGTCTTTGTACTTGCGCCGAGCCACCAGGATGCGGCCCTTCACGTATAGCAGCTGAGCTTCAGCCGCTCTCCAGGTCATTTGTTCGGCCGATGGCGGGATCGCTGGCCCTGGCTTTCAACACTTTAAGCGGTTCTTCGACCGTCTTCCAGGCTTCTTCATATTCTGCTCTCATGTAGAGCTCGTCTGCCATCCATCCTCGCAAGTAAGCCCAGGCTTCTTGTTCCCTACTGCTCAGCATTCTGATACTCATATTTTTGTAATATTCTAACCTCTGGGAGGGATCAAGAAAAGTCCCGAAAATGCTGAACAATCCTTCCTCCGTCTTCTGGGGAGGGACGGCAGAGGCAGTGTTCTCCTGTTCGGTAATAACCTGACAACCAAACTTGTTACCCATCCCGAGCTCCAAATAGTGCAAGATATTGGTCTTGTCGGATTCAAATCTGGCCAGTGCGCTGGCGAAATCCGTGTGGCCCAACTGTGTCAGATCTTTAAGAAGGTCTGCTATGTAGGCTGAGAATCTACGGAGCCCGTCTTCATATGCCGCCTTGTATATCTCACTGGATCCTTTTTTGCTAAGGCAAACTGACCGCACCAACCGGTGCATGAAGTAGTAAGGCTCGTTATCGCTTAGTCCAGTGTCTAGGATGGGGTAATCATCCCGGTCTAGGAGACTCCATCTTTTCAAGTCTTCCAAGTCGAACCTAGCTGCGTCTGGTTGTTCCTTTCCTAAGATCTTAGCCCCTTGACTCAGACTGAAGGAACTTGGGAAGACTGACAGTCTCAGCAAAGATTCCTTCAGAGGTAGAGGGAGCTGCTCGTACATGGCGCCTAGCGAGTTAAGCACCACTGTTTGATCTTCGAAATCCTCCCTCTCGTCTTGTACGGCTTGACTAGCTCCCAAGGAGCCAGGATACAACACCCATTGAGCTCCTGGACACTTCAAGAACTCAACTTGACTTCTGGGGCTGAAACCGCAGCTCAGGCGGCTTGCCACAGCGCGCAGGGCCTGGGGGTTATTGCCACACAGCTTGGAGATTTCAACCAGAGATTCTTCGTCCTGTAACGCCTCTCCTCCGACCGAGACCGTCCCAGAAAGCCCCTTAGCATGATTAAACATCTTCTTAAGAAGCTCCAAGGATTCGTGGACCTGCAGAGGCTCGAGTTTGACCTCCATGAAATTTCACACACTGGTCGGATATCGATAAGAGGTCGGTATAGGTCTCAACAAAGGGATTTTTATGATGACGGATCAAGGATGTCATCAGCATTGTCCAACAGTAGTACTGTATCTAGAGCGGGACAACAAAAACATGAAACATAAATAGAGAAAGCCCAGTAGAAGGTTTACCGTCGGACCCTGATAAGAAGAGCACTGTTAGTACCATGCATCAGCTCAAATATAGCCCCTGAACATAAACGCAAAAAGTTTGGGAATATCTCCGGGAAAAAAGTCACAAAATTTGGATTATTTTAAGAGTTTATTTCGTTAAAATAGGTATTTGTTATGGGAATAACATTGTGAGGACCCGGTCTTCACTGCATAGTAATGACCTGGTTGGGGAATGGCCGCCGTTAATGGACCGACCCGAACCCTAAATATTAATAAACATGTAATGTAGGCCTATGTATTTTCTACATGCGTAGCGCATGGAAACATTAGCCTGCGTGCCATTTCCTGTCAATTTACATTCAGCTCAAAATTAATGATGTTTCATCATGCATCCATCCGCCTTGTTACAACTGATAATGTAGTAACCAACTGATAATGTATCACCAACCGATAATGTCACATAAATTGACCGATACTGTATCACTAACCGATAATGTAACAGAAATTGACCGATAGTGTAGTAAATGTTACTACACTATCGGTCAATTTCTGTTACATTATTGGATAAGACCGATAATGTAACAACAATCGACTGAGTGTAGTACATTTTTACTACACTATCAGTCAATTTGTGTTACATTGTCGGTAAGTGATAGAGTATCGGTCAATTTGTGTGACACTATCGGTTGGTGATACATTATCAGTTGGTTATTACATTATCAGTTGTAACACGCTTCCTGGGAAAACGGACAAAATTAGGAAATGCACATACCTTTCTGTCACCGACTTCATTTCTTTCAGTTCTTGTTCTGCACTAGCTCGTAGCTTCCGGGACGTGCATTGTGCATGATACACTCAGTGTAATGCGTGTACGCTATGGGGAATGGCGCCCGTTTATTATGCTTTGTGACTATGGCAATTGTATATGCCTCGTGAACCTTGGTCATAGTTCATTTTTCTGTAAGAGACGTATAATGCGGAGATATGAAGCCCGGGAAGGGACAGGGTGGATTTTTTTTTTTTGAATTTCCGAATTCGTTCGCACGAATTCCTAATTCGTTCGCACGAATTACTAATTCGTGGGAACGAATTAGTAATTCGTGCGAACGAATTACTGGAGTTATTCGTGCGAACGAATTGGTAATTCGTGCGAACGAATTACTGGAGTTTGCTAATTCGTTCCCACGAATTACTAATTCGTGGGAACGAATTACTAATTCGTTCCCACAAATTAGTAATTCGTGCGAACGAATTACTAATTCGTGCGAACGAATTAGTAATTCGTGCGAACGAATTAGCAAACTCCAAAAAAAATTCCACCCTGTCCCTTCCCGGGCTTCATACGGAGATAATCAATAACCTTGTGAACAAATCCAAGTGCTTCTTTTATGAAATTGATTTCAGAAATGCTTTCCATGAATATGGATTGAAAGTTGGATGTGCTGCAAAGTAGTAGTCATGGTGGTTTGTAAAACTAATCCCTCAGAAACAACAATATTGAACCAGCTTATCTACAGGGCGAGTCAAAAAGAAAGTGACGAATTGGAAACAAATATTAGAAAAAAAATATGTGGCTCGCCCCATAAAAATAAAATGGGGATGAAGTACATGTTATTTAATAGTAACTGTGAACATTTCACGTAATTTGCTACTCTTTTCCCTAATAATTATGTCTATTTTCATCAAAAGATACCGCATACACGCCTGTGAAGGGGTACAAGCCTGCTAGACTGATTCTCTGACCTTACAATTTCCCAGAGTCAACAAGTTGCTCCGTTTCATCTTAATTGGGGTCAGGGAACCAGACTACAAGGACATGATTTTTATTCTTGGTTTTTCCAGCATCTCAAGCCCAAAACGTTAAACAAGTCAGTTTTGATAATATTTGCTACATTCTAATCCTCCAAATCCATTTATTTCTGACAAAAGTTGTACATTCCCTTGAATGTAATGATACTATCACTCAAATTAAAAAGATTGTGTATTTATCCCCTACAGATTAGTTGATCAGGCCATGAATCTACTTCACTGAATTTCCACTGTACATGTCCTTAGTGGGAGTTTCACCAAAAAGGTCTTTTGTTAATACCAGGGTGGCTTTTCAAATTCAAGGAACTTTTGTATACTGTTAGGTAAGAGCTGGGAGTCAGAAGGTTTTTCTCACCTTCCCTTGGTTAACAGTCTCCCCAGATGTGTTTAACAATTAACCAGAATTAAAGATGAACCTGTGTTCGTGTCTTTTCTTTTGTTAGTTAGGTATGGTAGAAAACTCCCACTCTTATTATTTAAAGTTAATTTCAGCATGTTAATGTGAAATGTGGAAAGTAAACGTGATGTGTAAAGTAACTGTGTGCGAAATCAGCAAACCAGACGCTTCCGTTCAGAAAACATGTTAGAAAAAAAGTGAGCTCCGCCAAAAGTTCAACCTTATTGGCCAAAGACCCAAACCTAATGGCACCTTTGCCGCAGTTGACACAATATTAGGTGTCTAGAGTATAAGCAAACACATACAGAGCCTCAGTTAAAGCAGGATACTGAGAAGTTGCCCAAGCACAGAGGTTTGTTTGTCAAGATAGGCCGGGAAAGACACGAACACAGGTTCATCTTCAATTCTGGTTTATTGTTGAACACATCAGGTACGACTAGTAATTTCGGCCTCCATTCGGTTTGCAGATTTAGACGATGCCGTAGTTTTATCAAAAGTACTTTGCTTAATAAAACATAAACGCGCTATAATTTCAAAGCATTTTCTCGTCAAAGGAACGCAAGAGTCAACTGTGATATTTTATGAATATGCGTTAAATTCAGATCACCAATCAAAACCGAGAATTGGAAAACAAATATGAATATAGTAGACCAAATTAAACCATTTCAAAATGTCGTGTCCGTATACAATCGTAGGGTCAATTGAGCTGGCCCTATTCATATGCATACTTTATTCATCCGATACTTTGGGGTCTAATCCAGGTTCTATGCGTTTCAGTAGAGGTAAGAGTAGACACTTTAATGCGCAAGTGAAGTGTACTCCAGTCAACATGTAGAACACAGCAACATAGCTCCGTGTAGCATCAAAGATCCATCCTGTGAAGACAAGCAGCATTTACTGTATCAATCATTTGCATTTATCCCCCCAAAAAACCTACCGAATCAATATTTTAAAAATCTTTCTTGGATTAAGATCGTACTGGTACTAAATACATCGTGAAATTATTTCATCTGGCTTGCTGTCATTTAGAAGAAAGCAAGATATATGTTGGGGATTTCCACTGATCGGTCAAGTGTTTTGTGATCAAAAGGTTGTGCATGGTTTTCCATTGTTTTCTCAAAAGGTGTTGCATCCATCGAGTTGAAACGTCAACAGGTTATGTTTTTACTATTCGTCTTTGGATTTCGAGTCGTGTTATCATTGGAAACAAATAAAATGCATGTAAAGCAAGTGATACTTTATGCCTTTAGTAAATGGTTTGGTTGCGGTATACCTGTATTAGATTCGAACCAGCCTTCGTATTGCGCATGCCTAAGTGAAGATTATTTGGACAATGACAGGTCACGTGTGAGGGTTAGAGTTCAAAGACCCGATTTCATAGGAGTGATTTGTTTGCATTTGCCCTCGGAAAATAATTCGGAAAAAAAAATCACAGAATGTCCTATTTAAACATAAATAAAGTACACACCATAAAGCCTTATTGTCATTACCTGCTATTACCGGCCCTATGAGGTAGCCGGTGCCAATGAAAACGTTCATCAACCCGACTCCTAGGGCGAAGTGCTGCACCCCAACAAAGCTGCGGCAGAGGACGATGGAAATGGCGAAGAAAGCTCCGGAGGCGAAGCCGTAAATGAATGAAGCCACTGCCAGATAGGCATAGCCGTCTGCAGTAACCAGAAGGCACGCGATTCCCGCTAGGCCCGCACAAATAGCTATCACGTGCTCAGCTGAGATTCTCCAGCCGATCATCAGTGCGTTTCCTAGAGAACCAATCAGGCTCCCTATGCCCAGGATGCTCATCAAGGATGCGGCACTAGAGGGCGCCACACCAATGGTCTGTGCACGTGGGATGAGGAACATTGGAAATGCCACAAAGCCACAGCAATACAACAACTGTATGGCACAGCTCAGGGAAAAACGGAAGCTTTTCCTCATGATATTCAGCCCGATTTCGCCCGACAATCCTTTAAGAAGTTTCACCACTCGTCCGGATCGGTTAGAGTATTGAAGTGAAATATACTCAGTTTTATCGCCAGTACTCGTTTCGACATATCGTACCGGTACCGCGGTCGAAGTATCGGGTTCATCTGTAACTTCACCAGTTCTTCCATCGGTATAATCGTCACCATCAGTACCGTTGTCTTTTTCACCTGAGGGCTGCTGTCTCAGTTCCTCTTGTGAACTTGTTGTAGACTCGGTTGTGTTCAGTGCCAGGCCGAATTGACGAGGTCGGAAAAGCACGCCACAGAGTATGACGTTTGCCATGATTGCGGATGTGACTAAAAAAGCACCCCTCCACCCGTAGCTGTCCAGCAAAAGTTGGAAAAGCGGAGGGATAGCTATCATCCCCGTCCCGCGTCCCGCGTAGGTAACTGCGTTGGCCACATTGAATCTCTTTATGAAATAAAAGGTGATAATTACGCTTGCAGCGTTGACGAGAATGCCCATTCCAATACCTATAAGAAGAACCAAGAATTAAAGGAATTCGGTGTTGATTCTATGAATGATACATTATCTGACAAAGATACATAATTATTTCGGCTTTCACTTTTCTTTTCTCATAGGTTGGAATTCCATTACATCTACTACCGGTACTTTTTTTTCCCAAGCCCAAAACGCCGTCTTATTACAAATCGAAGCACATACATACATTATTGTCCTTTATTGTTCTACGTCTCCTGTTGAATACAGAAACAAACTGACACACACAAGTCATGTTTACGTTTATACTTAGTGTGGACATTCCTTTGTTTTGGGGTAGTTTGTAAGAAAAACCTGTGGAAAAAAAATCATTTTACTCACACTGTGAAAACTCTTTCAACCCAATTGATTTACTTGAGTGTTTCTCTTCATTTTGCGACAGATAAACCTAACCCCACAATGCCTCCAAACATGTTTTCCGGCGAGGTGGAAACCTTGTTTGGACATGGGCAAGTCCGCACAACGTATCTGAAAACTGGTTTATGTGGACATCTTTAATTTGTTCGGAAGTCCACACAGTGAATGTAATGCTTGTATATACGGAGAACAGAGCACAACCATTGATACCGAAAAAATCAAGTTCAAGGCATAAAAGAGGATCATTTTGCGTTGATGCATTTTGTTCGTTACCAATAAAACACCACTCAAAGTCCAAAAGAGGAATGTTGAAAAACATAACCTGATAAAGTTTCAGCTCAGTGGATATTCCACTTTTCGAGTAAAACATTGAAGAAGAAAAAACATCCACAACCTTTAGATCTTGAAACTCGATTTTTGTGCAATGTAGCACTCTTTAATATAGTCAGGCAACTGATTTATGGAAATCTCCGACATTAATTCTCGATTTCCAGATCAATAATCCCACGTGGTGTTTAGTACCAGTGGGATCTTTGTTCCAAGTAATCTTATTGATAATATTCGGTAAGGTTATACTTTTGGGATAGATGCAAATGATTCTAGTATGCATTCAATAAGGGACACAGTATTAAACCGAGCCGTGAGTGAATTGATAATTATTACCTATTATGGCAGCAGTTGCGTAGAGCTGAACTATGTCGTTGACCCAATAGGTACAGAAGAGACCAAGCCACATCAAGAACCCTCCTAGTATACCCGTAAATCTACAACCGAAGCGGTTGCTTAGAACTCCTCCAATGAGAACTAAAATGAGAGAATGAGATAGCGTGTACCAATAGGAGACTCTTGTGATGCTTTATGGCGGCAAGCAAACAGTCTCTTGCATTTGCGCCATGTTTAAGTTCATCATGCATGTGCGCGCGCATGTCCAAAATGGCGCAAAGAATAGAAAATGACCGTTGTTTTTGCTGCCACCAAGCGTCCCAAAAGTCTCTCCTTTTATTGCCTTACACGGCTCAAAATTCGATACTTCGAATAATTCGATACTTGGAATAATTCGATACTTTGATTAATTCGATACTTCGATACGAAAAACGTACACATTGTAAACAAGGACAAGAAAACTGTAAATTCATGGGGTTTTTTTGACGTTTTGTCCGTAAATGTAAGACGTTTTGTAGTTTTCATGTGACCTGACCCTTGATATAAACTACGAGACGCTTGATACGAGAACTTGCTAAATGTGGTGTGTATCCTATACCTGGCACATTATACTGATCATTTTACTGACTGGTTAACACAACCAGGCTGATGCAGTCATGTTACGCCCAACCTGTGGCAGTGGTCCTCACTATAGTTGGAACAGTCCCATGTTGCTGGGCAGTCTCTGTGTCTCAACAATAGGTGGAGAATTCCTCAAAACAGTTCGTGTGTCCTGCTTGAATTGGCTGTACTGCCTCCCTTTACTTTGATTGCCCTAATTCTCCTGTAAGCTAATTAACGTAGCACTCAATTTGGTCAATCTGATGACAATCCACGCGCTAGCGCTAGCCGGTATCAGACTTTGGGTGCGTTCGTTTAGCTCACCCGGGTCGACACGGGTCAGCCCCGTGCCGTTCGTTTAGCTGTGACGTCATTCTCAAGGCTTACCCGGGTCAGCCACCACAGGCCCTGCTCGTGAGCAGAGTCACTGGTGGAAATACGCCACACGCATGCGTTGTTCATCCCTAGAAATGGACAAATATGGCGGTCGGGCAGCGGAAATGTCAAGTGGACCCAAAATCAACGTTATTTGAAGTCTAAAGGCGATTAATTATTAAGTTCATTGCGACATTACGGAGGCTCTAATTCCAGCCCAATTATTTTAAGTTATGGAACTGACTGAAAAGCAGTAAATCGCAAACGAAGACACAGCACGAAACATGCGTTTTGGCTATGGCTCCGGCTACAGGACATCACGGGAGGCTCGTGATGGCCCACGGTCGGTTTTAGCGTTCGATTAGCCCGGCTGTCGTGACTAACCCGTCTGCCTTTCCCAGAGTCGATCCGGGTGAGCTACTCAAACGCACCTGATATAAATGGACACTACGTACTAGAATGCGCCCAATTAGGCTACAGAATGCGTTTTAAACGAAATGCTGTTTATTGGAAAGAACATTTAAAAGTAGAGTATAAACGTCCATACAACCATCCTTTAAAAAAATGGTACTTTAAGAAACATGCGAGAAGGAATTTCGGGGGTCAAAATGTTGACTCCTTGAAAATCGAGCTGTTGAGTGATAGTTGTGAATTCTGCCGCACAGTGCATCGCATTATGCGGACCTATACTATGTGTATTTGTGCTGTGTTTATAATGTGACACACAAAGTGTAGCGCAGGGCCTTGAACATTGAATGGACACGGTTGGAAATACGTATGCGTAGGCCACAAAATGTCCGTGCGTCCGATGGTAAATTTAACAACCTGTTTTTCCGTCTGTTTTCGGGAACGGTTTCCTTTCAACCAGACCTTTGAAATAGGGTAAATAAACAATCCAAGACATAAAATGTGGGGGATTTTATGTTTGTGCGTTCATACCGGCTCAATGATGATTACCTGCGAACCCTGCTGGGGATGACATGAAACTTTGAATGGCCGCCGTCTCCTTGGCACTCAAGTCGAACTCATTCATCCAGGGAAGATACAGGATCCCACTGCACCGCAGGATACCACTCGATGCCATGCCGACGTGGGCAGCAATAACCACCACAATACCCCATCCACATTCGCTTTGCTTGGACACTCTCGTAACCTGACGCCTAGCTTGCAATGTAGATGCCGTCGCCATGATTTCACCTATTGTTTCGTAGACTGACCGAACATGTAATGTGACTTTAGAACAACTTTACAGGCGATGTACTCATCATGATTCTTGCTAAAACATTTCAAAGCAGATAGCTTCTGTCGAGATTTTTCTTTCCCCCATCAATGCATCTTCATGTAAAAGCAACACAATGGTTATTGAAACTGATATCAGGTATTGTTGTGAAAGCAAATAGATTACAAGATAGCCATCACCACATAGGTTACATTTTATAAGATATTGCATCACGCTATTGAATCTCATTGCCCACAAATTCCCATATTGACCCAAGGGTCCAAAAGGATTAAACACGATTCGCTCATGTCTGTTAACAAAAACAGTTTATTGCCATTTTTTGGTTCCAGATAAGCACTGAAAAACACTGTGCCCATTTGTATCAAAAGGAGCCCAAAGAAGGATAACAAAGTGCAGTATAATTATAGGCCTATACATTGTATGAAAAAAGTACAAATTATTTACACATTTATTTGTCCTTCAGCAGAAGGCATTGGTACATGTTGGCTCATGGCGTCTGGCATGCTGTTCCATACTGGGACCATTGCAGGAACGAAGGAGCGGTTGTACTTTGCCAGTGACCAAATGACTATGTAATCTAGTCATTTTTTCATCCTGCACCCAAGTTCAAGTACTTCAAACAGTGAAACATTTGACTGTAAGCCTACTGTGCTAGTACTCTTCATTTCAACAATTTCTTAAGTATTCTGATATATTTGTTTGATGTAGAAAGGGTTTGAAATAGGACTAAAAAGGATGAGATACCTGTTCAGGTGTAAATTAAAGGTATTTCCAACAAATTCATTTGTACTCTTGTCATATTATGTGCCTTGTTGATTGTTACGACCTTTTCAAATAGGTACAGTGAAAATCCATTACTGTGGTATTTCTTTTGAACAGGATAAAACAGTTACTACTTTTACATAATTGGCATTTTCTCAGCAACCCAAAGTGCTATTTTCATGTTTTTTCAGTATTTGAAAGGAAAAGCTCTCAGCTTTAATCTGATACCCCCAAAAAATAAAATTCAACCTATCCCTTTATTTTCCATCGAGTGACGAAAAATGATGAAACTCGGCACATGCATAGAACTACTTTTCATGAACATACCCAAGACATTTCATGACTATAGGTCGAAGGGTTTGGGCATTATACCTTTTAATTAATAATATAAACGAATAGTAATTCTGCTCTGTGTACACTACGTATGTGGGGAAATTCAGTTTTCACGGGGCGTAGCGCCGATTTTTTTTTTTTTTTCGAATTTGGAAAATTTTATGTTTTTGGAGAATTTTATGTTTTTTTGGTATCAAAAGATGCGCAAGCCTGGAGGCTAAAAAGTCAGAACAGCTCGGGTCGCGAAAAGAAAAACAGTAAAAGAATGTCGTTTCCAAAGATGCGTCTAAAGACCCATTTTTGTTGTAAATTCAATTTAGTACCAGTTCGGTTTTAAATCGGCGAAGCCTGAACGGGTAAGCGCAAGTGTTGACACGACGCATACGCGCACGCGGTTGCTATATAATTCGTCGGTTCAGTGTGTGACATCGTGTAGCTGCAATCGGCTGAGTGAGAACGTGTCCCGGACACTGATTTCGGGCGCAATTCAAACATGACTCGGCAACTTTTGAATTGGAATCGACATCCTAAAATCTTGTTTTCTTCGAATATTTAGCATTCACTGAGCTAAAACGTCTTCAGGTTAGTTGTTGAGCACCCTTCTTAGATTTTGCGCACTTTCGTTGCTTCAAACGAAACAAATGCACAAAATGACAAATGACTCTATACCTTTACTCTAGAAAAAATACATGTACTATTGTATGGTAAAACATGTATGCATTATGATACCCATGCTTGTCGGCAACTCGTTGCGGAAAAGATTATCGATTATGTAAACACACTCATTATGCAATAAATAGTCAAGGTTGTATCATGAATGACTGAAAGCATTGTGATTTGTGTAACCTGGGCACAATATTGGGGAAACTCGCACTAACTAAACACTCATGTGATTAAAGTCGAACCCTGATAAGAAGAGCACTGTTAATACAAGGTACTGCTTATAACAAGCACAATTTTAGGTCCCAAGTCTTTGTTTTTTTTTTTTCCTTTGATTTCTGTTACTCCTGTTATAACAAGGTAATTCGTGAAGTCCAAGGACCTTGTTATAAAGGTGTTCGACTGTAAAACCTACCTAAAATAAACTCGGGATATTTAATGGGAAAAGTCACGAAGAACTGAAATAATTGAGACAATAAACAAGATTCTAGATTTCCCAAAAAAAAAAATTAACAAAGACAATCTATTTACAGAAACGTCAATTAAGACTTAACAAATCTACATGAAGTTGCTATTAAGCAAAAAAACAAAACAAAAACAGGGACTGGACCAAAGATATGATAGACTAATATGCTAACTAAATGCATAATGAATGCAATAAACAACATATAGGAAGTGGATGAGACTACAAACATGTCTCTGCACTAAACTATGTGCACAGGTCATGCGAGCTAGAACAAGAACAACTCTTGTAAAACCATGGAGGAAGGAGCACAAAGCACATGGTCCAGAATTTTACAAAACTCTATACATACTAAAATATGCAAAGAAAACTCACCAATGACTCGATCTAAGCAGACGGAACTCAAGCAGAATCGACACACCGCTCTAGTTAAGAGGATGGATGGGGGAATACAGTCCGACTCCCACTAAAACAAAATCCACGGGACCTTGTACGCCAGAGAGCAATGCTCAATTCCGCTTTGAAGGAGTTCTTAAAGGATGAGACGAGTGTCCCTATTCACGTTTTTGCTGCCATCAAGTATAATCAGTGACACTATACGTATGCGTCACTGAGTTGGTAACGAAATGATAGACTGGTTCCCTTGCAATAGATAAGGAAAAAACAGGAAGATTTCCTCCTTATGTATGCAAAGTATTATGCAGGACTTGGAAGATTACATAATGTAACTACAACCCCGGCAAACATGGTTGGGACTGAGCCTGCCACGGTCACCCACTCTCCCGCTCCCCCAGTCATCAATGTTGTTCTCTCCAGCTGATGAAACACACCGCGCAATGAGAGACAACAATGAACAGGGGCCGGGGGTTGGGAGCCCAGCGAGATTCAGCCAGGATTGTCTGATTCCCTGCCCCTGAATACGATAATGCATTCGCAGAACGAGCCTATTGCAAAATGACAACAAGGCTACCACCAGGGTACACCTAAACAGGCCATAAAAATCCTTCCTCCGAGCTCGCGAATTAAAGTTATACGCTCTCATGATTTTATAATTAGAGAGTTCTGAGAGCCATGGAATTGTGCTAGGGGTAGTCTACTTTGGGTGAGAATTTCTCGAAAAAGCAATGGTCAACCCACCAAAAATTGAAAAGAAAATCAAAGATGACAGGTTGATCATCATTTTCCTGTGCAGCCTGAATACCTGTGAGAGTTCTGAGCATTTTAAAAGAATGTCGAAGTATGCGGCCATTTATCACTGGTGTCTATGGGAATTATACTGGGGTGCACCCACCAATGGGCAGTTTGTAGGGTGAGTGTCTCTTGCAACTATCAATAAAGAGTGGGGCACTACTTTGCAGTATTTGAAACCTATGCACAAAACTACAAAATTACCAAATTTCGAAACCGCACTGTCTCCCGTAATCTTTCTTGATATTGACACCCCTTCCAATGTATGGTATCGCCTTCGTTGCATGAAATAACTTTTTTTGAAATCTTTTCTTTTCGGAAGTTAATTGATTTGAACCAGAAATAGGCTCTTTTGAACTGATGATTTTTTGGTGTGAGTTTTCGGCTGCTCTTTATATATTCAAGAATATAATGATAATAATAGTAATCGGCATTTAAGAACGCTCATATTAGGCCCAAAAAAAAAATAAGTCGGTCTCTGGTCAGCTCGCGCGTCGATTTTGATCATGCGCGTCGATCTTTTTTTTCCAAAATGTTCGGCGGTAGCTCCAACAGCGCCCTCTATTTCCGCACCTCCTGAATTTGTTTTACCAAAGAGCACCAAGGAATGGGAAATTGCACCAAGGCAAATGATCGAAAGCATCAAGGCTAATTATGGAGGACACCAATGTACATGAGGACACCAAAAAAGCAAAATAGTACCTCACCTTGTCTGTACAATCCAAGCTTGAAGAAAAAAGAAAAAAAGCAAAAAAAAAAAAAAACCGCATCGCCGCGTCAATTCCGGAACTTTGGTCTGACCAGAGACCGAATATTTTTTTGTTGGCCTAAGTAAGCTAAATCACAGCACTAACAGTATTATTATTACCCCCTAATCATTGGGCCAATTAAACATTCCAAATACCGTCTCAGCTCCCTGGGGAGTATACAGCTCGATGCTGCCTGTTAGGCGCAAGGAAGCTAATTCAATCACAATAACCATCTCTGCCCTTACAGGTACCCATTTACTCCTGGGTGGGGAGAAGCAATGAGTGACAAAGTGCCTTGCCCAAGGGCACACGCACTATAACCCCAGGCAGGACTCGATCCCACAACCCGCAGAATTACTTGCAAACCAGTGCCCTTACCCCCGAGGCCATGGCACTCCGCAAATAATTTACAAATTTGCAAAACAATCAAAGGGAACTACCCAAGAAAGCCAAATGAACACGGTGATTCTTATTATTAACACTTTATTCATTCTTGCAGAAACAATGCGACTTGTCTTGTTTCTATCTTCTACAAGGAAAAAATGCAGCTATTGACAGAAAGCGCATCAACTGTCGCCAACCAAGATAGAATAAAATCACCAATTTTCGAACTGTAAATGTTATAAACACACTGCGAAATGCAAATCACTCGATTTTAATTCATGTTAATTCCAAATGGTGAAGCTCATATATACTGCTCACTGAATACAAGACTTAAAAACTAAACTAAGCTGATAACTCAAACTTAATTAAGCTTATAATTTAAAAACACAATAGGACGAATTAATGTGTAGGCTTTTTCATAAATACGTCAGACAGTTTACCACTTCCTATTGGTCGAGAGCCTGTCACGTAGGTTTTAAACGGTTGAAAAAATACCGACTGGTTTTAAACACTTTTCTGTGTCACATGATATTTGGTTTCCTATGAAAACTGGTCCTTTTCCCCTTTTATTGGTTGAACCCTCACACGTGACTCTCCAAATAGACCTGACTCACGAGGAAGCCATTTTCGACCATGTTCCCAGAATCTATTTTATTGTGTACAATGCTTAAAAGAATGGTGCCAGACTATTTTATGATTGGAGTGCGTGCCAAGCCTTACTTTAATTGTTTGTGTGTTTAAATGTGGCTCAAAACATTAGTCGCGTTTAATCAATATTTTTAATTATTCATCAGTGCAGACTGGTGTTAATTCGTAATGATCTTTTAATTTTATTTCATTGCTTTCATTTCTACTTGCAAGATCCAAAAATGAAACGTTTACCTGGCTTTCAATTATTTTAATACGGCTCACTCGTGAATGAAGTATTTTCCGGTAGGCATGCGTAAAACTGCAGATAACATTATCCGCGTCCAGGCCCCTGTTGTTTAAAACCGACCAAGTACATATTTATTCCCTAAAGAATTTATATCAAAATGTATGGTTCTCTTGTTTTACCGTAGCGATAGTATCTACGGCAACAGCTGACTGCTGTGATGTGGGATATATCGTTTTTATCCCCTCCAGGCAAAAAAAAAAACACTTCGCCTTGGGTGTTGTGCGACCCGTGTTACAAACGTGTGTGTTACATGCATGTCTTGAATACTGCATTTTCATTGGCCTAGAACGATCACGTGCCAAGTCATGGCACACTCCCTACAGGGAGTGTGCTATGACTTTGTACGTACGGTGCGTACGGTGTGAAACGCTTGTATCATTGGTACCCATGCTATTTTCACCACGTTTTCACAGATCAGTGGGAGCAGCGAAGTAGCAGACGATCAGCTGTTTCGAGCACATGACATGTGCTGTATGTGAGTTGACGTTCGATTGTCATGATTGTTGTGTTTACTGCTGTTTGTTTTCGTTATTTTCACATCAAAATCCAAAGAATCCAAGACAGAGGTATAACCCTCTGCTTCGCCTCGGGTGCTATTCGCCCCTCGGGTGTTCAAAACGTCATATCCCACATCACAGCAGTCAACAATTGTTTACTATTTGCATCATATACACTGCGTTGCTATACATCATATACACTGCGTTGAATATAAATTACCTATGCGTTGCGCGCGCGTGTGACTGACCCACGCGTCTAGCGACTGGGAACTGCAACCGCTCAGTCTCTGGAAGGAAAGCTCACGGATTTCAAAAGGTCAAAATGATACACCACATTGATTTCATATATCCTGCATAGTAAGAGTTTTTTTACTTATTGTCACGATGTAACATAAACAATTATTGACTGCTGTGATGTGGCGTATAGCACCCTCAGCTTCGCCTCTGGTGCTTTGCGCCCCTCGGATGAATGTCATTTCCCACATCACAGCAGTCCCATATCACAGCAGTCACTTGTTTTATATTACGAACTCTTTATTATTTAATTGGTGATATTAATGAAAGTTTTGCTTATGCGTATACCAGTGTTTTACACTATCAGTTTTAAATAATATACTATCTAAACGAAAGACAAAGTGGCAAAATAAAAAGCAAGTTTTGGACAGGAAATGTACATTCAGGAGAAAAAACTTAAATTGTTAAAATACAACTTTTAAGCACTTATCTATAAAACACACTAAATCTTGATTATAGTTTTAAGATGATTTAAATTTGGAAATATTTACTTGATTATTTCATTACTATCATTTTGAAGCTATTTTCTACTCGGAAGCATGGAATTCATTTTTTGGTGGGGGATTAATTCTTTTGCAGAAAAGAAGTCAAAATTTAGGCATAACGCTCCACCATTAACATTTCCTTGATCAAATGATAAATCGGTCCGAGTAAACTGGTATTGGAATTCTCACAAACTATTCTTGAATATTACAGTATGCGCTTAAGTGAGAATCGATATATTTTCAAGATGGCTGCCAGGGTGACACACATTGTGACACATTGAGAGAAACTGTATATTATGAAATCCCGTTTAATAGCTGCAGACCTTGTGTTGATTCCGTCTTTATGACATGCTACACTTGGAGCGCTTGCTAGGATTTTCGTCTGGGAACACGGGACCTAGAATTCGAGAAGGGAAAAAAGGACAACATTACCAAAATGAACCTGCAATTAACGTAAAGGAGCTTGAGTGGAACATTTCTCAGAACTAAAAAGACCTCCGACAAACTACATTTTACTAAAAGAACTTGAGCTGGCGCGGCCAATAGGCCTATGATGTTATTATGCATTTGTCATGAACGAATTAGGAAAAAAAGCATTCGTGATAATGACGTTTTAGAAATGAGTTCGGCACCGGCCAAATATATATTGAAAAAAAAAACCATGTAGGATTTTGGGTGCATTTTACTATTTTGATTCCTGCCACAGCCAGGTTGTTGTGAATGGGGCTTGAATCGTTCTACACTGATTTGCGAAATGCATTTTTAAACTTCTAAAACCGAAATTTCCGTTAACGATACATTTCGAAACTAAGTAGGGCACATACCCTACCTATAATTGACAGACTTACTAAAATAAGTCAAAGATAATTACGTTGGGCTTGCAATTAAGAAGAAGGGTTTCATTCCAAAGAAATGTCCGCATCAAATTCTTGACTAGACTTCGGACACACAACAGTCAATCCATAATCTTCTTGCATTCTGAATGATCACCCGACAAATTACCGAATCTTTTTTTCCATGATGTTGAGCATTCTCTGTTTAGTACGTTAAGATCCGATGAGGACTCTGACATTTCAATTAAGAAGCACATTTTGATGGCAGAGTGTTTATTGGGACTCCAACTATCTCCAAAACAAATCAACCAAATTCAACCTTTGGGAAATATGTTAATAAATTTGTTTTAAAGGGCTGCACAAGATACACTGATAGGCATGTATTTT